TGGAACATGGATACTTCTCTACAGGTGGCAGGGGAAGACCTCAGAAGCAATATAAGGTAAAGTTCAAGACTCAACCTATCTCATAATCAAGATGGTTCTCTAAGAAAGAACTTCTACCTACTGCACCCGATATTGTCGTGCATATGAGCGTGAGTTAAAAGGAAACCAAGCCTAATAGTTTCTGCGATGGAACTCAAAATTGGGCCCGATGGAATGCAATAATTCAGCTTGAAACATGCAATAGTCGTGAGCCACAGGTCGTCACTTCCGTCTAAGGACCTAATCAGGGGCCAAAGGCCACATTTGAGTCATAGAAAATTGCCTGAACCAAGGCCTGCTGCTGTGGGTACCCGAAGCATGGCCTAAAACTGGGCTTCAGAGGCACTACATGCGACAGTTGACCATGGAAAGTCAAAGGTCAACAGCAGCTCAAAAATTCACACTCACGAGTCAAAGTCAACATGGACCCAGCCTAGGGCACCGATCAGACACACACTTGGCTGTTTGAAGGTATCTATCAAGAATCCAGTCCAAGTGGGAATCTACAACTCTATGAGATCCAGGCCATTGACTGCAGGTCAATCTGGGCCATCGTAGCCGAGAGACCAGAGGCTGGTCAACGGGAGTCAACACTATATGTTGACCCAGCCCTTGCTGACCAACATTCAGTCTTGCACTTGCTGCTTGACGCTGGCTTGACACTGGCTGGACGATGGCTCTACTCTGGCTGGACGCTGGCTCGATATTGGACGACGACGTGAGACTGCTACTGTGTTGGCGCCATCTTCTGTCCACGGCGCCAGCTCTCTTCTTGATCATTTTGGACGTGGCTCTCGCCACACTGTCTACGACATTGATGTGGTATTGGCGAGGAGGATTAGGATCAGGGCTGTGAGATTGGTCAAGTGAAGAAAGGAGAGCTTACCTGTTCACGATCGTGTCGACATTGCGCTCTGCTGTTGTCTTCAAAAGGAGTCTGTGCCGTGTGCGCCATGTTGAGATCTGTTCGATGTTAGTGTGTGTGAGAGGAAACTGTCTGGTGGCATGGCGAGTAGGAGATGCCCGAAGGAGGAGTGGGCCAAGAGGGAGATCTATCTGCTGAAGCTGATGGTTACTTTGTCTTCCACCCTCTGAGTCTAATCTCCCTCTCATCACTCTCTTCTTTGGTTACTTGACATTGGACTCTTGAGTACTTGTACGATTGGAGACGTTGAAACTGCACTGAGACATTTTGTACTTCGACATTGTTGAGATTTCCTCCTGACTGGGTTCATTGCACTATCTGCTTTTCAGTGTGATGATCCAATTTGGAATTTTGTCATCATTTCCATGCAATGGACTCTCAAAACATAGGCAACACAGTAAAACAGACTGAGGCTCACAAATCGCGACAGATCAGGCCAACAGACAGCTTCACTTAAATAATGCAGAAAACTCATACTAATACTGTGCGGGTCATTGCACCCCTGCAAGTTCCCTTTGAGCTAAAGAGATCTTGGGGGCCAGACAAAATGCATGATACGCACAAAATGCAAACAGCACAATTGAAAGCTCACATGCATTGTAGTCGTGTATAAGAGAGTCAATGAAATCCAATGAAAATCGTCAAGTGGACTATACAGGAAATGCACTAGGAAATGCACTAGATACTCACATTATTGCGTATTACCCTTGTGATCATGGGTAAAGTGCACCATGAAACAACCATTGATAGGTCAAGGAACCATGGATGGTCTGCTGGGGAAATCATCATAAGTCATGCAATGATAGAGTTTGGACTCACGAAACACCAGATACCTACACGGATGTGGAGGTGCGTCAATGATGTACGAGGGTCTAAGCTCGTCATCTTCTAAGACCTTGAGATATTCCAGGAAAATAGTATAGTGGCAAGGGCTTATGCGTTATTCCCTCTTACAATGCAAACGTGTTGACCTTAGTGTAATCCCCTTGTCCTTGAATGCAGATGGTGTGGCCTTTCGTTGTTTGCACATGGCTGTAATTGCGTGAGCAAGCAACTTCTGATACTCGACCCCATAGCTGGGCATTCCAGGGTCAGACCAGGGTGCTAATCAAGCAGTGAGAGATCAATGGGCCTGAGGATCTGCTGAAGCAGACGAACTTGCAGCCCATTGGGAGTTGTACACGTGGCAGATTGTATAGAGTTTTTACACAGACTCTTTTGCATCCGGAAGTCTTTGTCCCTACTGTTCTAATTGGGAACAAAGAGTGTGTGTGTGTGTGTGTGTGTGTGTGTGTGTGT